AAAAAAAAAAAAAAAAAGAAGAAGAAGAAGAAAAAAAAACTTGACATATTTTTATCTTGAGATGACATATTTTATCTTGAGAAATGAATGCCAGCACAAACAAGACATATAATTGTTTACAACAGGAAAGGTTAGCGGAAAGGCTATTAATTTAAAAGTACACCACATCAATAAAAGTAATGCAAACCGAGTAAGCGCTAGGCCTTTTTAAATTTACCATAAGTTAAATTGTATGTTGTTGTTGAAAACCAACAAGCTGTTAGTCATTATGAGCTGTCTTTGTAATATATGGAACGTGACATTTTTTTCTGGAAATATTTTCGCTAACAAGCAAGGATTTGTATTTCCATTGCGATAAATTTCGATTAGGAACTTAATCTAAATAAAGTGTGTTATGTTTGCTAATATCCTTCATTAACATCGTACATATACACAAATCAAGTGCACTGAGGAAATTGCTTCTTCATTGACATATCAATTCTCAGATTACTGTCTAGTACCCGCGTCCCTGATTGGTGGAGATTCCTATATAATACCCTGCTATTCAAATCCAAAGCCCTATTCGTGAGACAATTGAAACTTCAGGTCGTTTATGCCACTTTTTGTGAATTTTGTTCCTGCAGGAAGAAAACGAAATGAATGACTCCAGAGGCAATGACACTGAAGAAGGCTGCATTTCAGTGAAATGCATTTTTTCTCTAGCTGAAAGGTCAGCAATCATTAGCGCCTTTTCTCTACTGTTCCTGGCATCTCTTCTTGGCAACATCCTGATCTTGTTTCTTCTAAAGAGAGACAATCAGCTACGTTCCAAGACAAGTGCATCCCATATCAGCCTTGCAATTGCAGATCTTCTATTGACGATATTCTGTCTTCCATTCATGCTGACAGATTTGTACATCGCAGATGAATGGATTTTTGGGGCTGCCTTTTGCAAGATTATAACATTTGTCCAGATTTTGTCTTCCACATCCTCCATCCTCAATCTCCTCATTGTGACATTTGAGTGCTTTGCTGCAGTGTGCTTTCCATTTTACCTCAGACTTTTGAAACGAAAGCGAGTTATCTTGATCGTTTCCTGTGCTGTGGCGTGGACGATAGCAGCTATCGAGGGTATCGCTTATGTCCAGTATAAAGAATACGTTGTCTATGAAGGCACTCCCTTCTGCATGGAAAATTGGCCTAGCACTGAAGTGAAGAATACTTTCATTTACACAAATGTAATTCTCCTTTCCATCTTTCCTATTTGTGTAATTACGATCCTTAACATGTTTTCCATCGCTAGGCTTTGTCAGGCCAAAAACTGGGAGCTCCAATCTAACCGGAGATCCGCCAAAACATCCTACACTCGTATTGCTACAAAAAAGATCATCATAATTTCGCTGATTTTCATCGTTTGCCGAACACCTCATCAACTGTTTGGCCTACCAATAATCCATGATATAATAATACTCAATAGCAGCACGTCCAAAATGTACCTAACGATACATGCAATAATCTATGTATTGTACTTCTTCAGCGCTTCCACGCATCCCGTGGTCTTCAGTCTAATGTCATCTTATTACAAGGATGCACTTCGGAGACAATGGGCTTTCATCACGCGAAAAACTCAAAAGAGCAGCATTAGGGGAGTTCCAAGCACTAAAATAAACGATACTTGTCTCTAGACAAATTACGTGCTGAACTTAAACATGATGCTTAATCTTGATGTGAATAAGCCTTTTCATAGTTTAAGAATCGATTCCACTGCGCATGCGATTTTATCCCGAATTTCTCACCTTCTTTTGTCTAAACCTTCTTTTGTTCTTAATTAAACAAAAGAAGGTGAGAAATTCGGGATAAAATCGCATGCGCAGTGGAATCGATTCTTAAACTATGAAAAGGCTTATAGAAATCCTGATACCTTACAGAGCTATAAAAATGCTTACGATAGGCTTTTAGGTTGTGCGAAGCTCAAAAAAGGAGCTGAAACGATATATATGTATATCTAAACAACTCGCACAATGTACTGACACCTGATGCGAAGAAACTAACTAATTGAACTAACAGGGCTGTTAGTAAATGGATAGGCTTGCATAACGCCAAAAAAAAAAAAAAAAAAAAAAGCAAACTGATAAGCTTTAGAGGAAGGTATTCCTGAACAGAGAAAAAATACCATGTTAATAATTTATTTACTGTACTGACACTTGACGCGAAGAAAAATAAGTGATAACTGGCATGACATAGCTATAAAACTGTAGTAAATGCATGGGCCCGCATCAAGCAAATTTAATCAAAACTGAGGAGTTTAGAAGAAGGTTCTCCAACAGAGAAATCCTTACTTACATGTTAACAATTCACGTACTAAACTGACACTTGTAAAAAAAAATCCTTACGCCTGACATAGCTATAAAAATTGTTTTTTTTTTTTATTACGATAGGCTTTCATCATCATGGTAAAAACTCAAACAGCTGCTTTAGGGTGTTTTAAACAGAGAAAAGGATATTTATCTAAACGAGTTGTGCGAAGAAAAATCACTTATAAATGATAGAGTTATAAAATGTATATATATAACATTAAAAGTTTCTCAGCTAATCAATAAATAAGTTAATAATTTGGTAAACTAAAGCCTAAAGCTAATCAGTGGCTTGATTGTACTTTAGAAAGACGTGAGGTTCGACTGAACCAAATATTGCGTGGGACTAATTTGTTAACTCTGGTTTGTAGTGGCTTGATTATAATTTTTAGTGAGAGAAACAAAGACAATGTGAGGTTGGACAATAAACAAATAATATGTGGGACTAATTTGTTAACTCTGGTTCATAATGGCTTGATTATATTTTTAGTGAGAAAAACCATAAACAGAGACAACTTGAGGTTGGAAAATAAACAAATAATATGTAAGACTAATTTGTTAACTCTGGTTGAAGTTGTATTTTTAGAAAGACGTGAGGTTTGACTAAACCAAATATTTTGTGTGAGACTATTTTGATCACTCTGGTTTGTTATGACTTGATTTTTTCTGTTTCGGAGAGAATCAAAGAAAACGCAAGGTTCGACTTTAAACCAAAATTAAATGGTAATGGCTTGATCAGGTCGATCGCATCAGTTTAGTGCGGGGAGAATCACTGATAGACAACGTAAGTTCGACTAAACCAAATATTTTGTGTGAGACCATTTTGTTTACACTGGTTTGTAATGGATTGATTGGTTACAATATATACAGTACATATACTCAATTATATTTAATCATGTTTATACCTAAACTTCTGGGGAGGGGGAATAATAAAACAAAACATCCGCTGTTAAATTACATAATCAAAAATGAAAATAAAATCAATATTGAATAAAAATAAAAACAAAATCAAGTGAAGTTGATGATGGGGCCAATTGAGAAAAATAGAATTAACTCTCCTAACGAAACTGTTTTTTTTTTTTTTTTAAAGTTTCGATTGGAATATCAAGGAAAATAGTGGCTATTTAACCATCAGCCGATTATTATATGTTACAGTGCAACTACACCAACCAAGCCCATCGAGACAAATTTTCATATAATTTTGCCAATCACGATTATTAATAGAATCTGTACAAATTTTCAAAAATTTTCCCTTTAAAAACGTATGTTTTACTTTACATACATGTGTGTGAATGATTAGGAGTAAACTAGAAACATCTTCAACTCCACTAAGAATTCGTCGGGATTCTGTTATTCAGCGTCACAAATGCGAAGTGTGTTTAGAATTTGTTTGGGTGGCCTTGGTTAATGGAGTCCGCGCATTGTTTTGAAGTGTCAGCCGAATTGAACCGCATTGGAAGATTTTCGTCCATGCAAGTGGTATATACCGCTAAAAGCTTCTAAACTCGAATTCAGGGCCTGGATCACAGTTTATCCAAAAACAAAGTTCCTAATGGAAAATATTAATCATTTTTTCATTAGGAAAGCGGCATATTTTGTTAACTATCTTATATAGGACTATATAACCCATTTCAAAGGAAATTAGAAAAGCCCACTTGAATATAATGGATTTCTCTTAGTTATTTTGCTTTTCATTTGACATGCGCTTGACTACATTGTATTTTTTAAAAACTGAGATTGGTTGATATTAACTAAAGTTAATACTAGGAAAAGAAACGTGCAAAATAGTACTCCTATGTAAAATTGATTGAGGAAAGATCCAAAATCGTGCTTAAAATAGATTATTTAGTCATGAATGACATAAAGAGAGTTCTCCATGAGATTTTTTAATGCTTGTTGGTTTATTAGATAAATGCCTGCTAAAAGAGAAAAATAATTCTTTAAACTGTATCTTTTTTTCGTTGAAATCTAAAACTAATTTTCCTAAATAAAAAAGAGGATTAAAAGAGAAGTAAGTTTGAGTAGGTTGTGTAAAAAAGTGTCTATCTGCTGAAATTTGCTTTATTAAACAAATCCCTGGTAAAAGAGAAAAATAATTCTTTAAATTGTCTCTTTTTTCGTTGAAATCCAAAACTAATAAGCAAACTAATTTTCCTAAATAAAAAAGAGGATTAAAAGAGAAGTAAGTTTGAGTAGATTGTGTAAAAAAGTGTCTATCTGCTGAAATTTCATTGTTCATCAGTTTATAAATTTATCACATAAAGTAACAAATTTTCTACTTCATCGAATTTTGTTCCTTTTCAGTATTTTTATTATTATTATTATTGTTATCATTATTATTATCATTATTATCATTATTATTATTATTATTATTATTATTATTATTATTATCATTATTATTATTATTATTATTATTATTATTTTGTTTGCTTATTAAACTTTCTCATCTTGAAAAGATTCATTTAAACATTTCCCCTTTTTTTAAATGATATTTTTGTTTTCAATTTGCCATACCCCTCCTTCTTTTTTCCTGGCTCTCCATTCAAACGAAATCCTCGAAAGTTATTTTTTTGTCCCTATGTTTTTTACTTCCCTCCGTTTCTCTATTATCTTTTTTCAGTGAATGTGTGAGGGGATATTAACACATGTATTTTGTTTCATTGCATTTTTCCAAATTATTATATTCTGTAGAAATATTATCTATTATCTCTTTATAAGCCAGTAAAATGTTAAACGTAAAGTAAAGTAAATATTAACGTTTTCGTTTATTCTGCGACATATGCAGTTTAGTTTTGAGGAAAAGAGCTCAGAAATTAAACTAAAAGGAAATAAATATTTTATTCTGTTACATGCAGTTTAATTTTGAGGGAAAAAAGTAATTCTTGAGGTAAACGGTAATAAGATTCCAAAAAGTCTAATCCTGGATCATTGGCTGTTAAATTTAATTAGATCTAGTTTTCGTCTTCCGCCCCCAAAACACAAGTGATTAAGTAAGGTTTAAGTATACTTAATAACATCAAGAAAGGATAGATAGATGTATCAGATATGCAATTTTGAAATTTAGAAATATTCTGAAAAATATAAGGGACTTCAAAGTTTGTTTTTCGTTTTTGTTTTTTAAATCGCGATAGCTATTTAAACTAGGATTATGCAATCGTTCGTTTCACCGTCGTCGTCGTCGTCGTCGTAAGTTGTCATATGAAAATGCAAAAACTACTAATAATTCTGATGACGATGAAGATGTTGATGACGGATGATAATGATGATGATGATAAGGAGGGGGCGCACCTTTTGCCTGCAAACTCAAACACCGATAATGCAGTAGATATCAGCTCATTTAGGGAGGGAGGGAGTGGGGTGGTTGCGCTTCCTTGCACCCCAGTGAGGACTACCGGTCTTGTTGTTAGCTATTATTAATTGCTACATCGGAAAACAAGGACATATCTTTTCTATTTTATTGGTAAAATATATTTTAACAGAAATTTAAAACTTTTTACTATGAATTACCTGTGCTAGCCGTGGATCTATCTATCTACCTATTCTAGTTGTAAATATATAAAGATATTCATTCCATATACTTTGAAACTGCAGCCAATCATTGATAGGTCAACCCTTTGGTCATACGCAGGCATTTTACAACATAAACTTGCTGCCAGTTGGTGAAAGCAAACCAACACATCACCCCTAATTATATTTTTACAGTGAGGACACTCAAACTAAGAACATTTCGACTATTTTTTCTTCTAGGGCTTTCATTTCTATCGCGAAACTTCACTACTGCTTCAAGCCCTCTAAGATAAAGCATCATGAGTTCAAATACAACGAGTGATCAAAATAAATCATATTTCCAATCGATTGGCTCAATGGGATAATTTGACCAAAAAAAGAAAAAAACACACACACACACACACACAAGTGTCCGATGTTTAATATATACATAAATAAAATTGAATAAAGCGTGGGTGAGTTTGCAAGTGGGTGAATGATGCATTGAGATTTTAATCCTAATGAAAAGAAAGGAATCAACGAGCGCCAATTAGAAAGAAAATCCTGTAGAAATAACAAATGCTCCAGAAGGCAAGCTTTAAGAAGCAAAATATGCTGGCCTTCTTTCCTTTCCTTTTCTTGTCGTTTTCTTTCCTTCCCTTTCTTTTCGTTGCGTAGAATTCCGTTTCTTTTTGTTTTGTTTTCTTTCGTCTCGCTTCTTTTCATTTCGTTTCGTTTCTTGAGTCTTCGTTTCGTTAGCTGCGTTTCGTTTCCTAATTATCTTCCGTTACCTTTTTCTCTTTTCCTTTTTGTTTTTGTTTCCTTTTCTATGCCTTCTTATCGTGATATTATTATTATTTTCTTCCTTATTGTTTCTATTTCCTTTAACCTTCTTTATATCCTATCCTCCTAGTCTTTTTTTTTCTTCTATCTAATTAAGGAACTTTGATATACTAGAAGGCATTGAATTTTACTCTCTTTATTTCTCCCTTGTCTCTTGTTTACATTGCTAGACAAGGTTAATGCAGAATATTGTTTAAAGTTCACTTTTTTGCAACTTATTTACATGCAAAATCTTTGAAATATAATTTTAGTAAATTTTATACATGTATATATGTATGTATATATGTATATATATGTATATATATATATATATATATATATCTATCTCTAAATCTCGCAATCTGATTGGTTGGGAGCGCGTACTTTATGAGAGCACACAGCACGCGCGCGCACTTTCAGTTTCCTCACATACGTATTTGTATTTTATAAAAGAAATAAAAAACTTGCTTGCTGTGCTGTGTGGACTAAAGCACTTGGGGATTGGCAGATCACTCGAGAAGTGTCGAGAAGCACTCCGCCACGCGTCCTAGTACTCTCTCCTAACAGTTCTCTCGTGTTCTGCAAACGTAGGTACGTATCCAACTAGAAGTGAAAGTAGCAATATTGGCCTTAGTACTTCATTTGCTTGGCTCAATTGTTTAGTACTATCTTCTGTTGCCGTCCCCCGCGTGCTTTATTACTGCACACAACACGCGCGCTCCTTTTCTATTTTTTCATTCAATATCTTTTGTTTGTTTGTTTGTTTGTTTTGTTTTGTTTTGTTTTTTGTTTTTTTGTTTTACTTTTTGCTCTTTTTACTTTTTTACTTAGGTATGTTTTTTACTGGCGAAGAAATTTCCATAAATCAAAAACCCGATCTGAAGATAGTTTGTAGTCTATGTATCACTAAACTCTCGATTCGCGGGTGAAAAGTAAGAATGACCCTCCTACATTGCTCCCTGCAGTAGAGGGTTTGGAAATAAGTCTTCTTCTTGCTTTTTGACCATTGGTGCCTCTGAATCTCTTCAAACTGTTACTACCTTGTGGCGTCATTAAAAAGTAGATTAATGGATGTACAGCTGCGCATGCGTAAAACATCCATGTGAAGACCGCGTAAACTACGTTGACAGTTTTTATGTTCATCGACTGCATGACTTCAGAAAACGTATTCAACATTGCAAGTAAATATATTGGAGTCCAGCAAGCAAGAAATGAGAGCATGACAATAACAAGTACAACCGCTGCTTTTTTGCGTCGTATGTTGTGCTGGCTCATGTAGGAGATGTTGGCAGTGATTCCTCTCTTGCTCAAGCTATGGATAGTTGTGAGTTGTAGGCAGATCATCATGATTAATGGTATAAAAAATGTCAAAGTGTAAATGACAGAAAAAATCCTTGAAGTCTTGACATCGGGAAAGACCGTTATGCAGTACGAGGTACTAGGAGTGACAATCAGCTGTCTGTATTTAGCCAGAGGCGCTGCAAGTGCTATAGCAAGAAGCCATACAAATGGTATTCCATAAACAAAAGACTTCTTACGAGCTCGAAAACAGAACGGAAAACAAATAGCCATGAATTTCTCGAGGGAAACAACGAACAAGTTAATGATCGAGGCATTGACAGACATTTTTTGTACGACTGGTACTATCTTGCAGAGTGCTTCTCCAAATATCCACCTCTTGGCGACGTAAATGTCGATAGTTATCACAGGAGCGCATACTATCGTTACCAGAAGGTCCGACAAAGCAAGATTAAAAGTGGAAATGCTTGCTGTGCTGCGCAGTTGTTTTCTTGTCAGTATGACATAGCATGTGGAGATATTGCCGGTCAGAGACACGATGACAACAGCAAAGAAAGCAGCCGCTATGATGCTGTTTTCTGTAAAGGAAAAAATACAACGCACAGAATAACAACCTCCATTGAAGACAGCTGCTGTGGTGTTGTTAAAGCTCATGATATGAGCAGAACGTTCTTGCTTGTTAACCTGTGAATAAGAATAATATACAAACTATGTTATTGACGCCAAGTATTCTCAACACAGAAATGACTAATTAGCTTGACACAATCATATCGGTACATTTATAATAATCATGTTGTATTCGTGCATCTGTATGCCTGTCGGACTAATAGTAAAGTAGTTTGGAATATTTTCATGTGAGGATTTCCCCCAGGCACTAAGAAATATACTTGAGTCCTATTGCACTGTCTGGATTTATCGTTTAATTTGGACAAATACACTTAAACATGACGTTTGAAAAAATCCTGTATGAGACATGTTTCATCATTTAAAACTATTTTGAAAAGACGTCAATAGTTTTATTAGGATTAATTAAGGTGACTCGCAGATTTTTTTTTACCAACGTCTAGTAGGAAAGACATACTTCAAATGCTTCAATACTCGTAACAGTTTGTGACATGGATAATATATCAAGTCTTATTTAGAAAAATATATTAAGTAACGTTGCCATAACAACAACAGTGGTTTGTCCTTTGCTCGAAATGCCATCGGTTTTTATGAGTACCTAATTGCGGAGAACACGGAGGAAAAAACATCATGCGCAGGAGAGAAACTCCTCTCTTTTTTCAATACCTTTGGAGTAAATTTCAACTACTCCAGTTTAATTATTGCTAATTCTGCAATTGGAACCTTTTACTTCAGGCGTAAGGTTTTCTCATCTAGGACCACTTGCCTTTCTCATGGGTATTATTTTTACTTTCCGTTTACTTTCGTTTACTTTTATTTCACATTGTATGGATGTAAGAAATACACTGAAACAAAACCCTATAGTAAAGAAGAATAATTGAAAAGGACCACTCTCTTCTACTTTTATTATCAAAAGTTCAAAGCTTCAAAACATATATATATATATATATACTGCGGTTTGCATAAACTTTGACCCTTTTGTGCATATATACAAGTATATCAAAAGCACATCAAAAATCATGGAATATGATCCCTGATATTTTTTCGAGTTGTCTATCACTACTTAGGGCTTTCTGGAAAAAATATCAGGGGTGATATCTCATAATTTTTGATATACTTTTGATATACTTGTATATAAATAAATAAGGTCAAAGTTTATGTATATTTTGAAGTTTTGAAGTTCTGAAGTTTTGATAATAAAAGTGGAAGAGTGGTCCTTTGCAATTCTCCTTCTTTACTATAGGGTTTCGTTTCAGTGTATATATATAATAGCTGAAAGTCTTCCTTTATTCCATCACATTATCTACTGGTTTTAATGAACAGCTGATAGAAAAAACGCTTTTAAAAGCTTTTTAAAACATGTATATGGCATTGTACTGCAGTACGCTTTGTTTGAATATATAGAAAGTAGGAATCAGCTTATAATTTGAATCCTGTATTAGGCCTAAAAAGCATGGATAGAAAAAAATCACCTACGCGTTGGAGGGAGAATTATGCAATGACATGAGACATTGGGATCCGTAAAGAGGGAGGAATAGAAAAAGGAAGTGGAAAAGAAAGAGAAGAAGGAAAAGAAAGAAAAAAAGAAAAATTGAATGCGCATTTGAGTATTTATATAGAAAATGCACAATATAAGTATTAAATCAGTATTATCATCATAACTGGCACAGTTTGAAATATTTGTGTTTGTAAAAAAAATCTTAGTAACCTTTCCTGATCATGTCAGATTTCATGTTAAGCTCTGCTTTTGAACTAGCTCAACACTGAGTATCATTTAGGCAGAATAAGAAAATGAATTTTATAAATAAGTCAGCAAGAGAATGTGTAGTCCCGGAGATGAGGTTTCTTTACAAAAAAACTTACAGATATCTATAATTTTTTCAAACTAGTTTTGACTAGATTTGGTGAAGAGGCAGTGTGTGGTCTCTGACACGTAGAGTGTCGAGTACGATCATGTCATCGACGATCATGTCATCGACTCAACATCATGTTGAAGTATGTTGGGTGCATGTCTTTGTTAGTTTACGTGGTCTAGTTCTCCAGGTTCCTTCATTTTTTTTCACGGAAGTTTTCAATTCTATTTTTGAGTTTGCCCTGCATTGGCGTATACATAAACGACCATAAACGAGGCCAGGGTCTGTCAATGAGTCAGGGTTCCGCGATGAAATTGTTTTTTGATTGATATATAAATCCCCAGTTATTCTAGTCGTACCTTTTAAACGAGTTCAATTCTCTAGTTCTCGAATGCAGCTGACTGTAGATATAACTCCGTTCTAGGCTCTTTTGTTGTTCTCGTTTCTCTTCTGGTCTTTGCAGGACTTGAACTAACGAAGACCTTTCTGAATTGTGCTCCGCTTCCTGGAAATCAGTGATTATATCAATATCCACTTGCTTATGTAGGAAAATGAAACTAGCCAATAGCAATTTAACATGCCTTATGAGAGTCTTTCAAAGGTACAGCAATGGTAAAGATTTCAATTTGGTGGTAATGAAAAGCTCTTCATTAACACCAAGGCAAGATGAAGTTTTCTTACCGGCCGGAAATCTCTAAACTACGTCAGTTTTATATTGATTTATTGAAGTTACATATAATGTTACAACCATATGCTTTTTCTGAGTTCGATAATTAAACAGGGTGCTTCTTCTAATGGTCTGAATTCGATAGAAACATTAACATATACTAAATCAAAATGAACGAAATATCATGTATGTACCCATCAATGCACGTGCCATTTCATGACTGAAATAAAAAAGCGATGGTTTCTTGTTTTCGATACCCTAAGGTCCCGTCCACACTATGCCGGATAAATTGGAATCCGAATTTTCAAACCGAAACCGATAAAAAAGTTTTCCGTCCACACTAATACGGCTAGCCGGCGTTTTCAAATTGTTCCACTCTGGAGACCGTATTCGAAAAAATTCGTTTTCGGTGAATCGCCCGGACTAGTGTGGACGGTAGGCCTAACCGAATAAATAAAAATTCGGATTCAAATTTATCCGGCATAGTGTGGTCGGGGCCTCAAAGACACCAACAAATGCCAAAATTCTAAATTCAATTTTAAGCTTTAAATTCGATGATGCGCTTTTGATCTTATTCGCATCTTAAAAATGCCCAATATTTCAGTTTCAAAGTATTGTTATTTTAACCAACCCTAAAATATACTAAGCCGCTAATGTTTTACCCTTAAACAACAAGCATACCCGATATTTTTACCTCGGCGTCCACTTTCCGGGATAAAGTTGTCGGGCATGTCCTCGTCAGGGCCGTAACCAGGGGGGAGCACAGGGTGCACGTGCACAACCCCCCCCCCCCCCTCTATAAAAGCTTAAGGTCCGCTCATCTATCTCCTTTAGCTTTAAAATTATATGTAAATGTTTTTTGATTAAATGAAGACCACTTTCCATCTGCATATTGGGGGTGGGAGGAAGGTGGGTACTGACGAGTTGAAAAAGTTTTTTTGGTGCTGTTGGTACTTCGCTTACGCCAAATAAGAACATTTTGAAATGCTAAGTTCACTACTGAACAATTTATTATCGAATATACGGTACTATATCTATTAAGAGGGATCTGGGAAGGGGTATTCCTAATCCCGTTTCCCATCCTAATTCCACTTCCCATTTCAATTCCCTTTTTTTGCGAGTCTTATTCCCAGTGCATAAAATCATATTTTCCCAGCCCCAAAAGGCGCATCCTAGCTCCCATTTAACCCATTCAGGAACCTATATGAGTAAACTGATCCCTTTGAAGTTTATTACAAGTTTGAACATTTCATTCCGGGGCCGAGCCTTGGTTTCGTGCCACACCAGAGTTTTAATATCTTGAACGTGCCTATTCCAGATTTTTCCAGATGCTTTTTTTAAATGCGTTAAATTTCATTAGGAGTGATGAATATGAACGATCGTTAATAGTCCATGCAGAGCGGTATAATAATCGATTATCAATAATAATCAAGCATTTTTTGACTGCAGTGAAGATTTCATGTCACCACTAATATTTCACTTTGAATTGACAGTTTTGTCAAAAAGACAACAAACGTTAAAAAAACTCAAGAAGTTTCTTCGATACTATAACTTGGTCTGTAGTATAGCACAGCGAAATTCTCTGGAAACTCTAAAGCGTAAACTGCTTTTTCCTTGTATAATCGTGCATCCTTTTAAGCCGCATCAACGTTAGATGTTACGTAACTCTGCCAGATAAATTTATTTCATTTATTTCTTCCTTTGTAGTGACAAATAAATTTGCTCTCATACAAAAATTATTCTTTTCATAAAAATTTCGACCCAAACGGCCACTCTTCGATTATAAAGAGCTCAATATTTTCTTCATAAAAACAATGGTAAAACAAAAAATGGGCCGGATTTATTATTATTAAAGAAATCAGCGTCGGCTTCTGATTTCAAGGTGTCATGAGGTTTTAAATTGGAATGAGCATTTATGAAATACGCTCACAACGGCACTGAGCAATGGAAAATCCTACCGAGATATTTGTTCATTGAATAATTCATACTATGATAAATGTGCTTAGTAGTAGAACTGAACTGTAACACCCTTGATTAAAATAAAAATAAAAAAATAAAAAAAGAAAGAAAGAAAGAAAGAAAGAAAGAAAGAAAGAAAAAGTTAGAGGCGGAAACTTGAAATGAAATATTTAACAAATTCTGTCTCGTGTTTTGAATGATATTTAAATTACATCTCTGTTGCTCGAAGTAAGGCTCAAATTTGTGTAGAACGCTCAAGTGTTCCAGTGAAGGTCCGTGAATTCCAAAGTGTTTGTATTATCGAAATTGTTCATTCTTTAATCTATTTTACCGTTGATATGTTTTGGATATTTTGAAGTTGAAATAGTTCATAATTAATTCCGTTTCCTCGTTGATTGCTGGCCATGCTGAATAAACTGCTAGTTCCAAACTGAACTACACCAGAGGGTCCTCAAGGGGTAAAATGGGAGCTGGGATTGGCCTTTTTTTGGGCTGGGAAAATGGGATCTTATGCACTGGGAATGTAATTCACAAATAAAAAGCAATCAATAAAAGAGAATGGGATTGAAACTTGAGAAAAACATAGGATGGGACTGTGAGATTTTATGAAAATGGTGGCTGGGAAATTGGATTAAAACCCCTCCCTCAGGACCCTCACGTAAGGGGAAAAAACGTGCCAATGATTGCATAACATGCTCCCTATTCTATTAACTTTTTGGCTTTTCCCCTTTTGACGCAAGATGCACGACCTAAATGTATGTTATGTAACGTTCGAAGTCTCGTGGACCTTTTTTTTTTTTTTTTTCACTTTTGATTTACTTGGCTTTCAAGTTCATTAACTTAGCAAATCGTAATCCAAACGCCTTTTTAATTTTGTGACGACCAAAGGTGCGAATTCTTGCCAACAGATGGCTCACGTCTTGAGCCCGGACAAAAAGGGTACATCAGTCAACTCTGACTTTTTTTTAAAAAAATCTAAAATATACCTATTTCAAAAAACGTCGTTGGTCGGAGATTCGAACTCTAATTCTGAGACCGAGTAACACGCTGCAAAATGCAGTATATTGAATGATGAACTACGTAGTTTCCTTTTCAATTGTATCATCACTGTATAATCCCATAAACTATTATACTATTTTCAAATTCTCTTTCCCGGTCCAATTAAAGAATAATTTGGATCGTTTCCATTCGCATTCTCTCGAGGGAAAACTATGACTTATGGAATCAGTCTAGTATAGTTTGGGATGATATAATCAATCTGCAATAGGACTACATGTCTGTCCAATTTGAAAATAATTTAATTCAAAAAATTCCTCTGACTGCCAAATTGGACTCGGCCTATCGGCCTCWTCTAAGTTTGTCAGTCCTCGGATTTTTTTTCATCCAATTATTTCCAAATAATTGGACAGCATGGAGTCCTATACTAATAGATCGACCTTTGTGATTTTTTTTTTGTATTTTAGCCAGAAAACATAAAAGCACAAAAAACTATGTTTAGTTTAATCTCAGATCTCCAACCGACATAATTGTCTAAAATAAGTGTCAGTACCAGTATAGATGGAAAAGTGGTTTTCATAGTGGGATGGAGAAATAGTAATGAAATAAGAAAATTGAAGACCTAAGTCCCTAAAATATTAATGACTTAGCGTCGTCATAAAAATGGCTTTCCAGTTGCAGTTGCCTTTTTTTTTTTTTTTTTTTTCTTTCTTTTTTTCATTAAGAAAAGCAAATCAACGGTTTTCTAGTGCAGCAAAGAATGCCAGTCTTTAAGACACCCCCTTTTTTTTTGCAACGTCAACGATTTTAACGTCAACTCGAAAAAAAATAATTAATTCAAAGATTTTAAAAAATTCAGAAAATTCTTCAGATTTGCAAGAATCTTTTCATCTAGTAAACAGAAATACGATATGACGCGAGCGAGAGCCAACTAATCCGCGACAATAGATTCATTATTTTCTCGTAGTACATCCTCTCATTTGCTACATTTTGTTTTATAAAAGGTCAGTAATGCCAAAAAGCATGCGAGAACACGGGGGTAATCATCCAAACGCGCACCATTTGTGAGCTACCTTGTGACAGCCAACGATATATCAAATTTTTGGCGATATTCTGAGCATGAGCAATTAAAGTATCGATCAAAAAAAAAAAACAAAACAAAACAAAAAAAACAAAACAAAAAAACACATAGCATATTCTTGGAAAGCAACCACACGACTCAATATCCCTTGAGATATAAATAACTATGAAAAAGCCGCCATGTTGGTTGATTTAACAAGGAAAGCTAATGAGAAATGCATTATTGGCGCCAAACAATATTGGAACTATGACATAACATAAACCCTAAGAATACCCCATTTTACAGTTCCGTTCAGTGACAATGAATAATAGTTCCAAGCTGAGGTTGGAGTTGCAGTGCATGATAAAAAGTAGAGTATTGCTGTGCGCGGAAACTCCAGCCTCGACTTGGAACTATTATTCGTGATCACTGAACGGAACTGTAAAAAGAAGAGATAACTAGCTAAAAACTAGTGTGAGCTGCGTCGTTGTTTCTAATGAAACAGTAATGATAAAAGGGTCAATTTTACACCGTGAAAAGATGAAAAAACTTACTGACGTTTCGGACGCTTATTTCTAAAGCTAAACCATGTCGGTATGGGGAATTTGTTGGGTGGTTACGTCATGTGACCAAGTAGAAGTGCCGATTTCTGTGCTAAAAAATATTCAATAATTTCTTAACTATTTATAGACTTGATAGAGCTATAATGAAACATACAGTGATGTAGTTGAGTGGTTTAAAAGCGATTAATCATAAAATAAAATATTCTACTGCTGAAAACGAGTAGAAACGGAACCAAGTAACCCATAGGTTACTTATTTAC